CCGTCTGCAGTGCTGCCTCAGTGTCCTGAATGTCACTGGAGTGTTCTCACAGCAGCGTTTCCTCAGCCACTGCAGTTGCCGGGCCCCACCCCTCTCCTTGTCTTTCAGTGAAGTTCAGTCTCTTCTAAATTCTTAAAACCACCAAAAAGTTGTCACTCAGGAAGGAATTAGCTCCCCCAGAGCCCCTTGCACGTGAATACCCCAAGGCTTAGAGACTTGTCTAATCCACCTTGAAATCCCAGCAGATCCTCACGTGGCAGTGCCCTCGGCCAGCTCCAGGGCCGACACACCTGAGGGCCACAGATGGTAACAGTGACGCCTCCCAGCAATACTGATAAGCTGAGCAGGTTGAAACCTGGACAGGTGACTCAGAAAGGACACTGTCGGCTGGTGCCCCAGCTCAGTGGTTAGGGCACCAGCCCTGTGCACCAGAGCTGACGGGTTCGAACCTGGCCCAGGCTTATTAAACAAACAAAAAAACCCCAAAAAACAAAAAAAAAGAAAGACAATGTCGACTGTGTTTCTTGGAAGTAAAATAATGGAACATAACACGGTCTGTCTCAAAATTTTCATATGGACCAGGTATAGTCCTGTTTTATACATTTTTAGAAATAACAAAATGATGGATATTTGTTTTTCAGTCTAGTAATTTTTCCAAATGAGATCACAGTACCATGATAATTTTTCCTGTTTTAAACTTTACTGAAAGATAAAAGTTTCTGAGTTATTGATTCCTGACACTTATAAGTTCTTTTTTTACACTAAAAGGCAAAGAAGCAATAGCTGTTCCTTTTTTAAAAGTCTAGAATGTAGTTGGTTGTGAAGAGCCTGCTTTCTGGAGCCAGACGGCTACAGTACTGATCCCTTCTCTGTCCCATGGTAACAGCTGCCTGGAACAGGCATGTTGGCGGCTCCTCTGTGAAATCAGGGTGGGAACAGAGCCTTCCACTCAGGGCCATTGTGAGTACTGATCTGAATCGCGCAGAGTGCCGGGAACAGTACCTGCTGCCCTGTGACTGAATTGTTACATGAGGTAGTTCCACAACTTTTCTTGTTTGTATAATCTGGTCTAATCCTAGATAGGACAAAACTAAAATAGTTTATTCTGAACTTTTGAATTTTAACTTCTTGGTTCAAAAGTGTGATATTATTTTAGGATATGAATTTCTGATGTTTGGTAGATCTAATTTCTAACAATGACGTGTATTCGTGTATTAAATAAAATATACCGTCATTGATACAGTAATGCATTATTTGTTTGTTGTAAATACACTTGTAAAGAGACACATTAAGTATTACCCAAAAAGCCTTTGTCTCATAAATAAAAGCGCTTCGGCTGATATCATCTAAGTAGATGCCATCTAGTATTGAAAGCTCTAAGTATAGTTTTCTACTTTAATTAATAATCAGTCATTTTGATACTTAGGGCAGATTAATTAATAACTCCCCTACTTTTAGTTCCTACGTTTTCTTTAATTCATAAAACATGACCCATAGTTCTTAAATACAAAGGATCGTGGTGACTGGTGACGTGCGATTTTTCAGTATATGCTGAGCTGTGCCCACACTTGCAGAGTGGGTGGTACAACCTCTGAGCTGAGGCCCCGCCGTCTGTCCCTGCCGTTAGGTGCAGGCAGCACACATGGGCTCAGAGCTCAAGAACGTTCACAACGCCGCCTCTTCTCAGTGTCTGGATTCGATGGGTGTTTAAACGGTCAAGCCAACCCTCCACAGATGGCATAGCTGGTCCATTTTTAGTCTTGTGGTGATGGAGACAGGAAGTCACCTTGATAGTCAGGTAGCCTTGCCAGGAATCTGTACTCTGGGCTGGGATTTCGGAGGTGGAAGATGAAGACCACTGTGGGTTCCACAAGGAGACAAAGGCCGGAGTCTGCCTGGGAGGAAGAGCAGCATAGCTGGAGAAAAGGAAGCCGGGGACAGGAATAGTGATGGCTGCTGATGAGTTTTGTCCTCGCTTCCACTGTCCTGAATAATTTCACTTGGTTTTCCGTACCTGTCTCACATGGCATGGCTTACACACATTCCCACCTGTCTTCCGTTTAGGATCCTTGGCTCAACCCCGTGTATTTCCAGCCACCATTAGCCCTTCCTGGGCCCAGTCTTCACGGAAGTTGCCCCTCCTCAGGATTCTGCGTTGCTCATGCTCTCTCTGTAACCAGATCAACCAAATTCATACCCAACTGAAAACAGTGTGCAGTCTGGTGGACCTTGTAGACAGCAAGGGTGTGGCTCTGTGACAGCTGCTTCCGGCACTGGAATCCCATCTCATGATCTTGTAAAGCAGCGTTGCAGCTACAGTTTGGAGACTGACAAGAGTCCTTGTTGAACTCTGCAGGGATCTTTGAAAGAAAAGAGCTCCTGACCTTAAAGTAGACAAAGCTTAGACAAGAGCTCCAGAGAGCAGGTAGCCAAGGAGTGCCCCCCACAAGTGGCCAGTCAGAGCGAGCTCACCCTCTGCGCTGTGATCAGAATATCGTCACAGATGGTGGCAAGGAAGAGATTCTGCAGCTCTTGAATAAAGTGCTTGGCCATTTTATTGATTGCATTTTGCATAAAAGCTGCCCAAACAGGAAACTGAGCATTTTGTGTCTTGAGAAATCAGCCTGCGTTAGGTAGAGAAGAAGCTGCTTTCCTGGGCTTGTCACAGAGTTTGAAATCCTAAACTCCTCTTTCAGTGTATTTTTCCCTTGTTTTGTTAAGACGTGTCCTTTCACAGTTTAGGGTTAGGTCTTTATACTCAGATCTCAGAAGTAGAGGATGGTTTTTCTGCTCATACTAATTGTGAAAAAAAAAAACTTTAATTCAAATCATAGTGGATTAATTCTGTAATATAAATGCTATCCTGTAAACCAGTACAAAAAAGATAGGAAGAGAAAAGTCACACGAAAATACAAATAGCTGGTAAATACAAAGGAGGCCAAAAAAGTATATACAGTTCAAGAAAGGAAAAAACATATTAAAATTGTAATACTCAGTATACACTGATAATATGTGTTATGATGTATATTGCCTCTTGTATCTCTTTAAATTGCAGAGTCAGATGTGACTTGAATATTACAATTTTAATACAATTTTTTTTCTTAAAACACGTATCCATTTTTTGACACCCTCTCTATATGACACAGATGTTCGGTTTCCTAACAACAGACACGGACATTGAAACTATACTGTGTACTGTTTTTCACTAGTGACATTGGCACAGATCTGAAGTTGATCTAACAGTGTATTGAATGCACTAGGCTACAGGTTGCTGGTGACATTGCTGGTGAGGCTGTAATTGTCACACACCCCACAGAGGGAGTTTAGCAGTTTCTGTCAAAATGTCGAGTGATGTAACCTTGAAATTCCAATTTTAGGAACATCCTAGAGATACATTTTCTTGGATGAGACCTGACATGTACATTGCATCATGGCTTATTTTAATAATCACAAAGAGCTGGAAATCTATCTGTGGTATTTTAAATAAATATGGTTCATCCTCCTAGTGGAACACTATGCTGCCATAAAGATATGAGTTCCTGATGAACTGATAGGGACTGTTAGGCTGTGAAATAACAAATTGAAGGTGCAGAGCAGCCTGCGTAGAGCGTACCGTCGTGTGGAAAGGGGAGTCCAGCAGGCTGCAGGCTTCGTGATCGAGTTACAGGCTGTGTCATCATCACCAAAGTCCTCTGCTATACCCACTGGCCTCTGGGGCTACTTGCTAAGATCACCAACTTCTAACAGTAATTCTTACTTGGTAGCTTTATATTCTTACTGAGAAAATTCCACACTGTTCAACAGTCATTTAATATAACTTTTCTTGAAGTTTTTAAAAGATCAACCGAATTCTCATTTTTACCTATATGTCAGTGTATGTCTAGTAAAGATTATTTATTTTGACAACATAGAAGGTAAAACATTTTTTTAGATTTTTTTAGATTTAGATTTAGTGATTAAAACATTTTAATAGATTTAGTGATGTAAGAGCGTTTGGGATTTATATGGACGAATTACATGTGGTGATGTCTGTGTTTTTAGTGTAGGTTTCGTTGATAGGATTTCTTCTCTGACCCCCTTCTCACCCTCCCCTCCCTGAGGCCCCACTCCGCCTCTTCATACCCATAGCTCAGCTTCCACGTAGAAGGGAGCCTATGCGTTACTTGGTTTTCTATTCCTGCATTACTTCACTTAGGGTAATGGCCGCCAGTTCCCACTCAGGTTATTGCAAAGACATTATTTCATCCCTTTCTATGGCTAATAGTCCCTGGTGTGTGTGGCCTCATTTTCTTTATTCCTTAGTTGGTGGGCACTTGGTTGATCCCATGTCTTTGCAATTGTGAATCGTGCTGTGAAGAACATAGAGTCCCAGGTGTCTCTTGGATGTAACGCTTTCTTTCTTTGGGGTAGACCCCCAGCAGTGGGATTGCTGGATCACATGGTAGACCTGCTGTTCTTTGAGAATCTCCACACTGTTCCCATGGAGGCTGTACTAAGTAGCACTCCACCGACATAAAGCTCCTAATTGCATTGCTTCCTGCATGTTTCAGGGACAGGCGTTTGCTGCAGCCTGCCCAGGTGTGCGACATTCTGAAGGGCGTCATCCTGGTGATCTGCTACTTTATGATGCACTACGTCGACTACTCCATGATGTACCACCTGATCAGGGGTCAGTCCGTCATCAAGCTCTACATCATCTACAACATGCTCGAGGTGAGGCCCGCTTGCCCTTCTCTCACCTGGACCCGCACAAAACTGTCCCCCAGTGCAGATGGGGGATTGCGAGGATGAAGTACACATACAGAGCAGGGCTTTAGCACAGTGTGGGGCCTGCAGTGAGCATCCCCCTGAATGGGAGCTGTATTCATTCACCAGATACTTAATCTGCACTTCCCAGTGGGTGCCAAGCACAACCTTAGACCCTGAAGAACCACAATTAAACAAGCTGTTCTCATGGCAGGTGAGATATGGCCGACAAGATGACACTAGAAAATGATACTGCAGTGGGAAGAGCAGAGTAACCAAGTAGAGACTGTAGGGGCCACAGGCGGTCTGGGAAAGGCTGTCTCAGGACGTGGCATTCCAGCTGAATCTAAATAATACGATGGCCTCCTTTTCTCTTTTTTTTTCATTATACTGTATTCCAAGAGATCATTACTTTAAAATGTCTTTAGGAAGCAGATGTGCATATTATATTCCATGTCATAAGCCTCAAAATACCGGTACCATTATTTATAAATATCAGGTAGAACGGGTCAAGTGATACACAAGGGCTGTCTCCAAAGTGTCCAGCCATTGTTATTGCTCAGTGTAGCTTATGGTACAAGGCTGGGTACTTCCTGGACAGCTGTCATATTTGTCGTAAGGAATTTAAGTTTAACGTCCTAAAATCAGGGTGGATGCCCATAGTTCAGTGGTTAGAGTGACAGCCCATATGCTCCGGAGCTGGTGGGTTCAAGCCTGGCCCCGACCTGCTAAAACAAAATCATCATCATCAAGTCCTCATGCCTATAATCCTAGTACTGTGAGAGGCCGAGGCAGGTCGATTGCCTGAGCTCAGAGGTTCAAGGTCAGCCTGAACAAGAGTAAGACCCTGTCTCTAAAAATAGCCCGGCATTGTGGTGGGTGTCTGTAATTCCAGCTGCTTGGGAGGCTGAGGCAGGATAACTCTCACTGGAGCCTGAGAGTTTGAGGTTGCTATGACCTGTGACGCTACGGCACTCTACCCAAGGTGACAAAGTGACAAATAAATAAATAAAATCTTTGTCTCCAATAAATAAATAAATAAAATCTTCAGTGTTTGAGTTGCATTTGAATTTTAGTAATATATTTAAATGCAATATTAAGAAGCACGTTTCCAATAATTTCTTTAGGTAGCTGATCGCCTGTTTTCATCATTTGGACAAGATATTTTAGATGCTCTCTATTGGACAGCAACAGAGCCCAAAGAAAGAAAAAGAGCCCACATCGGGGTGATTCCTCACTTCTTCATGGCTGTTCTCTATGTCTGTATCCTTTCCGACTTATTGGAAATTTCAGTGGTCAATGCGTATTCTACCTGACTGTTTGGTTAGCTGATTCACAGATTTAAAGATACACGTATGGCTGTATCTGATGATTAATATGAAGTAGCTGCTTTCTTTGAGATGAAATAGTAATTATAAATTAGAGAACCTCATGTATACATGACCCTTTGTGCCACTACAAAACTGTCCTATTCTCGGTGTAACTGATTGTAAGGAAAGGTTTTATAATGCAGTTATCTTTAAATCCATGAATTTTTTATTATATCCTTGGGCTAAAAACGTATAGAAGTAAAATGTGAACTGGTTGGGAGGAGTTTTTGTGAAGGTGTATGTGTGTTCCTGGCTTAAAGCTTCTCTTTTGGAGAGTAAGTACTTTATAAACAATGTGTATGCGTGTGTGCCCATATATACCTCTGTGTGGGTGTGTGTGTTTGTGTGTATTTGCACACACACGCGTACCCACTCCGAAGCTCTATGTGGAGTCAGGACTCATTCACAGGAATATGATGTATTTTTTTCCTTGCTGTCTATATAAGAGTGATATTTGGAAGAAATTGGGTTAGTATTTGGGAAGTTCTGGGACTAAGTGGGAAGATATTTATGAAGGTAAAATGTTGTTTCAGTTTTAATGGAATAAGACAGTTGAATCATTCTTAGATATAAGTTAATTATTCAGTATGTAACATGAATATAATTCTGCAGCTTAGGGATAGCTTCAAAATGGTGTAGGAAAAAAGAATCTTAATTATCAGCTATTTCTTACTATCTTACATTCCATGTCCCCTGAAGAACCAGAGAAGAAAACTACTTCCAAACTTTTTATCTTGTGTTCTTTTCTAATATGTAAATTATATTAATTGCAAATGTATATTTTGAAGTCTCTTCTTTCACAATCTACCATAATCTATTCCATTTATTTGGCACACTTTTTTGAGAGTCTGTTTCCTGAACACTGTGCCAAGTGCCAGAGATACAGAAAGAACAAAACAGTCCTGTTGTGAAGGATGCAGTCTAAATAAACAGATGCCTGGAGGTTCACTTCTGCTTTTATTTGTTTCGTAGGGTTTATATGTATCTTACTCTGTCAAATTTATGTCAACGACAGCGCATAGGGAAGCCATGGAGATAATAAAGCATTTCTGTAAGACCTGATTTGGAAAGCAGAGGCATTTTTTCCCTATTATTCACTTGAGTATTTGAAAGTAGTATTATCTATTAATAATAATAATAGGAAAACAAACTTCAGGTTTTTCCTTGACATACTGTTAGTTTTGCATGCAATTCTTATAATGGTTCAAGCTACAACTCTCAACGTAGCTTTTAACTCACACAACAAGTCGCTGCTTACCATCATGATGTCTAATAATGTAAGTGGAGATTTATTTTGCATTTTTGAGGTTATGTGGGCACTTTAGCAGCAATGTTCTGCATCAGATAATCTTCTGAATCAGCAATGTTCTGCATGTTATTGATTCTCCAGGAAGTTTTGTATGTAGCAAGTCCAGTTTGAAAATGTTTATAATGATAAAAATGATATTTCTGTTTATGGTTGCAGTTCGTTGAAATTAAAGGAAGTGTTTTCAAGAAGTTTGAAAAGAACAACCTCTTTCAAATGTCAAACAGTGGTAAGTACAATCAGATTCTCTTTGCGGCTCTGGGAACTCACTTTGAAATCCTCATGTCACGTTCCTGTGGGCGACAGTTTCTTAGACTTAAGCAGTGCTTTCTCTTACACTGTCAGCGTCTTACCAGCTTTCCCCTTCATCTTTGGTTAATTATAATTTCACTATATTTGAAATGAAAACTTAAGAACATTTGTATAGCGACATACCATACTTAGAGAAGGTAATAATTAATCCACAACTTCCTCTGAAGCAGGTGATACTATTCCATTTTATAGATGTGGAAACTGAAACACAGAAAGTAATTTGATTACCGTGGTCACTCGCATAAGTACTGAGAAGAGAATTAAGACCATAAATCTCAGGTTGTCTGTTAAGTTCTCAGCTTTTCCAGTTATACCTCGCCACTCCTTTCTAATTCTGAGAAATGTGAAGGCACAAAATTATGCCTGAAGACACCATCTCACACAGTTATGACATTCAGAGCGATGTATGTGGTGGATCTCAGAGGGTGGTCCTTGGTTCCTCCAGAGAGGTCCCTGAGATCTTCCAGGGAGTCCCAACTCAAAACTGTTTCATCAGAATGTGAAGAGGCTTGCCGTTTACCTTTGCTACCGTGGTGATGTTTGCACCAGTTGTGAAAAAGCTGCAGTGCTTAGCATGTGTCCAGGCGGGTGTAGGGGAGGGGACGACTAAAGGAACCTCACGTGGTCATTAATGTCCTTGGTGGGGAGGTTCCTGGGGTGGAGGTGGGGGCTGGGCGGGGGCCGGTGTTAGACAAGAGCACACAGCTCAGCTAGAGCAGCACTTCTCAGACTTTTGGGTCATAGGCCCCGTTTACATCAGCAGAATGGTGACAGTGCCGGAGGCTTTTGTTTTATGGGTTATGTCTGTCACTGTCCGCCATAGTGGAAATTAAAACTGAGGCTTATTTTAGAAATATTGCATGCTTACATAAATAACATTTTTATCCAAAATTATATTTTCTGAGACAAAATTCAGTAAGAAGTATTACGTACCAGTATGTAATGTTGGAGTTTCTGGATAAAGGTTAAAAAAAAACAAAACTCTGACCCCTCCCCTACCCCAAAAATCAACAGATAGTGGTTCATGGCCCTAAACAGTTCCAAAATTATAAAACTCCTAGAACAAAATAAAGGAAAAGAGATTTGCAGCTTTGATACGGACAGACCGTTTAGAGACCACACAAGAAGCACAAAGCATAAAAGGAGTGAAACTGTACTTCTCCTGAATTTAAAACTTACCCTTGTAAAAAGCATTGAGGAAATGAAGGGCAGGGGACACAACTAAGAGAAAGATTTGAGGTGCACGTGCTGACAGGTGGTTTTTGTTTCATTGTTATTTCCTGGACTTGTAACTACCAATCAAAAAGGAAGACAGAGTCCAATTTAAAAACAGGAAAAGGCTTGAATAGACATTTGCAAAGGAAAATCTGAAAATAGCCAGTAAGCCCATAAAAAAGTGCACAGCATTGCTGGGGAGAAACCATGAAGGGAGTGCAGAGCAAAGCCTTAGTGGGGTATCAGCACACACCCCCAGCCTCAGTGGGGTATCAGCACACACCCCCAGCCTCAGTGGGGTGTCAGCACACACCCCCAGCCTCAGTGGGGTGTCAGCACACACCCCCAGCCTGGCTGCCGTAGGCTGCAGAGTCAGAAGTTAAGGAAGATGTGGATTAACTGACTCTGTCAGGCAGTGATGGTGTGAGTGTACCTGTCACAGCCGCCCTGTGGACCTGCCATGCTTACTGCAGACAGACAGATTTTTATTTTATTTCTTGATTACCTGATATCTTAGACTCTAGGAGAAAGTAACAGCTCAAAAATGAAACGTGTACACTTGCCTTTAGCAGGAGTTCAGTCATTTGCTTTTATTAAATTTGTTGAATTTTTTTTCAGATATTAAGGAACGATTCACAAATTATGTGCTTTTGCTGATAGTATGTCTAAGAAACATGGAACAGTTTTCTTGGAACCCAGGTAACTCACTCTTATCAGATAAAGTACCTTATACCTTTAATCTTAAACCAAAATTATCCTTTTACATGGCATAAAATGAGTATTACAGAAAATTTCAAAAACCATTAACTGTTCCACTGTTTAGGGATTGGAAAAACTGACAGTGTTTCTGAGTCAGTGACAGACTGCATGTAAGACAGGGTCTGTAAGATGATAATGGAGAGCCGGGCGCAGTGGCTCACGCCTGTAATCCTGGCTCTCCAGGAGGCTGAGGTGGGTGAGCTCACAGGTTCAAGATCAGCTGAGCCAGAGGAAGACCTGGTCTCTAAAATTAGCCCAGCATTGTGGTGGCACCTATAGTCCCAGCTGCTTGGGAGGCTGAGGCACGAGAATCGCTTGAGCGCAGGCTGTGGCTATTCTAACATCATGTCACACAACGCGTCACCTCTTCTATCTTTAGGCACATTTGTGTACACAAGTGTTTGCCATTGTGTTATAGTCGCCTGCAGTATTCGGTGTGGTGATGTGCTAGTTAGGTTTGTAGCCTAGGAGCAAGAGGCCGTACCCTATAGCTCTGTGTGTAGTAGGCTATGCCCTGAGGTACCTGGGGGTACCACAGTGTAAGCATACTCTATCTTGTTCCCACATGGTGAAATCACCCAACAAAACACGTTAAGCAAGACCATGTCTTTTCATTTATTCTCAATGAGTAGGCATTCAGGAACTTCTTATTTCTTTATTTTAATTCACTACTAATTTTTAAGTACTTGTTGCAAATAAGAAACAGACATAAAATAATATATATGATGTTAGAAATGTATTTTCAGGTCTTATTTTGTTACAGAAACCATAAGATCAATATTTTGTTACAGAAACCATAAGATCAAATGATATCTGACTGACTGGCTTGAGTTGTAATGTGAAAGGAGCCAAGGCTTCTTGACTTGGGGAAGTGTGTGTGGGAAAGCCTCTCCCCCCACACACATCTGGATTCTCCTGGTGAATGGTGGTGTGTTTGTAACTAAGTCAGCTAACAGGGTGTCCATGAAGTGGCTGTCCCTGGCAAATGCTGCGTGGGATCGGCTCCCTCAAAGCAGGGCTGTTAAACCAAGGGGCTGATGATCCCTAAGCCTCCCAGCACGTAGGTGTTTGAAGTCGTACTTTCAGTTACACTGTGTCTTCAGCGAGTTGTCTGCAGTCTCCTTTATCAGGACTTCGGCAGATGGTAGGATAAGAGGTGCACCTGCTTTGTGGAGGATTCCTTGTTCTCACTCTTCTTTCGGTTTTGTTTTGTTTTTTGTTTTTTTTTTAGTTTCCTCGTTTAAAAAAAGAAGGAAAATGAAAAACCCAAATGCTATTCATGCAGCTTGCCCTCAGTTCCCAGACAGATCGTTGGGAACCCCCATTCTGTGTGCCAGGCAGGTTGCTGTGCCCCCATTACCTCATTTAATTCTCATTATAATGAAGTGTAGACACTTTTATTGTCCTTATTTTATGGATGAGGAAACGTGAATTTAGATAGAAACTTGTCTTTTGCCAGTGTTACAGATTCAAAAAAACGAAAGAAATTTGCCCAGGATCATCTTGCAGTTAGCGGCAGGCCTTCTCATTAGATGAGGTCCCTAGTGTCTAAAATCTGGCGTGCACCAGACTCCCAGAAGCTGCCCGCACCGTCCGCAGCAGAGCCCAGCTGCCAGCGGCTTGCGTTGCTCAGGTCCTCGTCAGCAGTTCTAACCAGTGTTTTCCTGCGCTCTCCCTCACACTTACACTCTTCCTCAGTGTCTTAGGAGGTTATCTGTGGGTGTTTTTTCTTCAGGTACTTCATACTGAATTGACATTTTAATAAATGTGAGCAAATTTAATGTCTAAATGACAGTGAAGTAAGTGCTGGATCAGTGTCTTTAAATTACTGTGATCAAGAAGGGAGAATATTACTCAGTTGGCAACAGGGCATCTGTACTGTCGGGTTGAGACAGCTATGGAGTTAGAGGATTTTCTAAGGAACCTGCTTAGCCTCCTCCCTCGGGTACGTAGCTAGGTGGATGCGTAGACAGGGACGCTTCTGAGAGGCAGGGCCGTGCTCACCAGTGGCCTGCACGTTAAGCTGTGCTGGGCACGTAGAAGATAATGGCCAAATATTTTTTGAATGAAGTACCCATTAACTTGATACAGTATTGCTGTTTTGACACAGGTTATACTTAATTGAACACTGGTTTTGTAGCATTACTTATTGAAAATATAATTTTCCTGTGTAGAGTTTTTAGGTTTCTTTGGTAGCTTAGGAAATGAATTCTGTTCACATTAGGAGATTTAATTGTTTGTCTTTTTTCCATTCTTTACAGATCATCTCTGGGTATTGTTTCCAGATGTCTGTATGGTAATTGCATCAGAAATTGCTGTGGATATTGTAAAACATGCCTTTATTACCAAGTTCAATGACATCACTGCAGATGTATGTATTTTGATAACACAATTCAGTGTTTACTTCCTAATATTATAAAGTTGTGGAATAAGTTTACTGTAGTTAACAAAGATAATAAATTTTAATACTTTAAAGTTAGAATTGTAGTTTCGGTGCCCATAGCTCAGTGAGTAGGGAGCCAGGCACATATACCAAGGCTGGCAGGTTCAAGCCCAGCCCAGGCCTGTTAAACAGCAATGACAACTGCAACCAAAAAATACCCGGGCATTATGGTGGGTGCCTATAACTACTCAGGAGGCTGAAGCAAGAGAATTGCTTAAGCCCAAGAGTTTGAAGTTTCTGTGAGCTGTGACGCTATGTCACTCTACTGAGGGTGACATAGTGACACTCTGTCTCAAGAAAATAAAGTTAGAATTGTAATTTTAGCTTCTAAAAATGATTATGCTACTGAAAGTATTTTATTTGAATAGTAAGTAATCCTAGTTCCATACTTTTAGTGGAAGTATAGACCAACCAGTAGTTGAGGTCAGAGCATCACTAACCCAAAATCATTACAATCTGCTAATACTATCATAATATGCTCACTTAAAAGGTTTTAAAATCACATCGTTTGTATTTTAAAAGTTAGACTATAAAACTTTTCTCTCTGCCTAGGTTTTAAGAACATTTAAATATTGGTTTGTTTCTGTAATTATGAATAGGTTCCTGATACATTCTAGAAAATAAGTACCTTTCTACTAAAAGCATTTCATGAAACTTTAAGAGATTTATTTTGTAACCAAATACTGTGTAGTATTTCCAGAAATAGGTATGTGTGTCTATAGGCCCATGGTATATAAATAAAAGAGTTTCCTAGTGCAGTCCTCATTTTCAGCTCAGTCTCAATGAATTTATCTGTTCAGCAGTTTTCTAGATTTTACTGGGTTGTACTTTTAATAATAGCCTTAGTCTTGTTTTACCTCAAAAGGCAGTGGTTTAAAATAGAAAGCAGTTGCAACAGCTACAATGGATGATTTGACTGTGGGTTTCCTGAACGCTTTAGTACCTAAAGGAAATACAATGCTGTGCTTTTCGTAAAGCCCCATTTACCTTCCTGGCTTCCCAGCCCAGAAAGATTCCCTTTCACAGGATCATTTTTCTCAGCATCTGAAGTCAAAATTAACGGGCTTGATTCAGATACTTGTGTAATTTTTGGTGGAAATGACAATTTGTAAGTGCCTTGACATCCACTGCACTCCCTAACATAGTAGTTATGTATCTTTTTTTAGCATCCATTTTTCCAAGAAGGCCTCCTTATGGTTAGATATACAGTAATAATCATTTTTTAAACTCTTAATTTAAAATTTAAAAAATTACTTTCTGTGTATTACACTATATAGAATAGTCACCATCCCCCAAATTCTAAACCCTTAGTATCATAATCACTGAATATTTATTTCATTTTGAAGAACAACCTTTAAAAGCCCAATAAATGTTCACAGTTGAGGGAACTGGGGTTGTTTCACTCTTGCTGTTGGAAAACAAATAGGGAAACGAGACCCAGATGTCGTCTGATCGTTAGTGCTTATTCCTGGTTAATATTAAACATTTTTATCTACAAAGTAAATGTTTTCATGTGATATATTTGAACTATATTACCTAATATTTCATTCTTATTTGTCTTTAGGTGTATAGTGAGTATCGAGCCAGTCTTGCTTTTGACCTTGTTAGCAGCCGACAGAAAAATGTAAGCCTTATATCAAAGTCAAGTCAGAAATTAATGTAACAGTGGCTTGATTCAGCATGAAATACTAGTTAAGGAGAAGCTACGTGAACTTAAATTTCCCGCTTACCTCTAGTCTCAACATTAAACATTTACAAGTTAATAATCATACTTAACATAGGGGTGTCCAACCTTTTTTCTACTGCACATTGGAAGAGGAGTTATTTGGGGCTACACATTAAATACCCAAACACTGAAAATAATAATGAGAAATTAAATAAATGAACAAATACATAAATGCTAACAAAAGTCAGTGAGCAAAAAAAGGTCTGTGCATCCTTTCTACAATCTCTGGCGCCACAAATAAGCACAGCAGCCCTCAGATAGTGTCCATGCCCCCCCCACCCCCCCGCAGGTTGGACACCCTGGATGATGTTTGCAGCACTGAAAGAGTTACTCAGCTTGGTGTTTAAAAGTCCTTATGAATGTTTGCATTTCTGTGTCATTTTACTAAATTGTATTATGGTGCCGGGTTCTCTTCTGCTCAGACCCTCACCAGTTTAGGACACTTGCTGGTAACCAGTGAATTTTACTTTTTAAATGCTGTTTAAATCCCACTAATCGGAATCTTGTTCTCTCTTTGTTCAGGCGTATACGGATTACAGTGACTCAGTAGCACGGAGAATGGGCTTTATTCCTCTTCCACTAGCTGTTTTAGTAAGTTCTACTCTCTTAACATTTTTGATAATGAGATAGCCATTATTGTAGAACATTAACAGATGGATTGTCAATAAGATTGTTTAAAAAGGACTTAATATGAGAAATTAAAGGTAAATAACTTGAAATAAAATTCAGTTTTAAATTACAGTAATATCCTTTTGAATGTTGAGCCATCCAACAGTTAAATGATTTTAAACTGTTTTACTTAAACAGCTTTTGTAAAAGCTTATTTTTTAAAAATTTTTTATTAATTTATTTTTCTTTAGAGACAAAGTCTCACTATGTCGCCCTCAGTAGAGTATTGTGGCGTCACAGCTCACAGCAACCTCCAGCTTTTGGGCTTAAGCGATTCTCTTGCTTCAGCCTCCCAAGAAGCTGGGACCACAGGCACCTGCCACAATGCCTGGCTATTTTTCGTTGCAATTTGGCCGGGGTTGGGTTCAAATCTACCACCCTTGGTATATAGGGCCAGGGCCCTACGCACTGAGCCATAGGTGCTGCCCTTTTATTTATTTTTTTCTTACTCATTTGGCAAAGGGTTTTTTTTAATGGAAATTCTTGAAAGTGGCATTGTCATGGCCACTGTAATGCATATTGGTGGAAAATAAGTGGATCCAGCACTTCTAAAAGTCAGTTTGACAGTTTCATGCTTTGATAGGCTCATTCCAGTTCTAGGAATTTATTCTACAGAAATAGCTATAAGGCACATAATGATTTATGGGCAACACTATGTACTGTAGTGGCATTTATAGTAGTAAAAATTTGGAAACAAAATAGGTTATATAACTTATAGTACATTTAAATGAAGACAATTAGGTTTCCATTGTAATTACTACTTTTTTTTTCTTTACCTCAAGCTGTCACCCTGCGTAGAGTGCTATGGCGTCAGAGCTCTCAGCCACCTCCAACTCCTGGCTTAAGTGATTCTCTTTCCTCAGCCTCCCAAGTAGCTGGGACTACAGGCACCCGCCACAACGCCCGGCTATTTTTTGGTTGTAGTTGTTGTTGTTTGGCAGGCTTGGGCTGGATTCAACCCCACCAGCTCTGGTATATGTGGCTGGTGCCTTAGCTGCTTGAGCTACAGGCACCGAGCCTGTAATTACTACTTTCTTTATTACTTTTTAAAAATTTTTCCAAAGTTTTTACTATGAAAATTTCTACTATTTTATATTCAGGAGATATATTAGATTTTTTAAGTAAAAATAATACTAAAATTTATTAAATCAATCCCCAAAAATTCAATTTTGAATATTTAATGAGTTTTGTTCAGAACAGCCTTGCAGATAGTTACTAGCCACGCTGGGCTGCACTAATGCTAATTAAGAAAAGTTGCTTCTTGCACTTGTATTTGATTGTGTTTTTTCTCGACCACCTATTCACATCAAAACAAACACAACCATCAGTCTTGCCAAAGGACATGGAGCGTCCTATAGATGCAGGCTCATGCAGATCACTTGAGACGGGTCCAGATGTCCGAGGTCAGACCAGCTTATTTTAGAGCAGCTTCCCTTACTTTTTTAGATGATAAATTATAAATGGGTTTCATGTTAAATTTCCAGATAACCACATCCTAAACATTTTTCAGTTATATCCGTAGCATGTTTATTAAGTGGAGGACTTTAAGAATAAAATTGTTGTTACAGGTTTAAAAGGTTGATAAAATAGAGTATTAAATTTTTCTACATTCCTTTTCCTACTGTTGGAAATATGACACATACAAATGAGAGGATAAATCTAGATTGCCTGATGGATTTTTTTTTTTTTTTAAGATTGGTTTCTGGGAGGCTGGGTGGATTGCCTGAGCTCACAGATTTGAGACCAGCCTGAGCCAGAGCGAGACTCCGTCTCTAAAAGTAGCCGGGTGGGGTGCTGTGCCAGGCGCCTGTCGTCCCAGCTACTTGGGAGGCTGAGGCAAGAGAATTGCTTGAGCCCAAGAGTTGGAGGTGACTGTGAGCTGTGTGACACCACAGCATTCTACTGAAGGTGACAATGTGAGACTCTGTCTCAAAAAAATAAAAAAAGTTTGGTTAAACAGTTGGTCTTAAATATGGCCATGCTTTGCCAAATCATACTTGATTTATCTAGTCATTTATTTGTCAGAAAACTTAATTTACATTTAGCATGAATTTTTCAATCTAGTATTTTAAAATTTCCCCCAGTCTTTATTCTTTAAAGAGCGTTTTATGGTCACTGTACCGAAAGATTTATGTGTAATTACTGATTGATCGACAAGACACTTCCAGCAAACTTTCTGTGTACTGGAAAGTGATTGCACGGTTCGACCAAGATCTGGCGGGTTTTCTTCTGCAGCCCTCTCCTCACAGAGCTTCAGCGTGGGGCCGTAGCGTTGGCAGACAATTGGGAGCCTTGAGGAGTATACCAAGGCCTCTATGCCTAATTGATTCTTTAAGGCACAAGATGGCACTGTTTTCTTCTAAGTGTTACACATTCAAAAAAAGGAAAAGAAATCGTATATTAAGGCTCATGGAAGTTAGACTTTGTACATATATCTCAAAAGTTACCTAATATGCTAGATAAAAGTGAAGTCATTTAGGCCTAAAATGTGATCATTTGTTTGCCTTTAACGACTAAAATCCCCGAGCCATAGTAACTTCTGTTCAAACGTCTGTGCAGTAATCCTCTGCCTGTTAGAGACGCTGACGCAGCTAAGGGCGTCCGTGCTCGGTTTTCTCGTAGTGAGCTCTCACTGAGCAGATGGCCACCTGTTGCCCTACCTCCTCACTATTATTCCTTTATTAAAAGCATTTTTAAATGTGTACTATATTTAAGACACCCTAGTAGATGCTCCTGAACATTTGCTAGGTTGACATCACTAGATAAGGCCACTTGTCCCTGCTTCACTTCCCTAGACCTTAATGTACGGGAACAGCTGCTGTGCCATAACATGTAAACATGGTCCTTTGTCTGGTCCCACCAGATTTATTCAGCAGATTTCCAAGGCTTATGCTATTACTCCTATATTTCTGTGAATTAAATAAGAAAATAGATGTTCAAATATAACCATCCAAAAGAGACAGAAATTTTCTGACCTTTAATTTAAGCTTTTACTAGTGTTTAGTTTGTCTAAACAGTACAACCCCCCTAAGGTTCCTTGTTCTCTGCGCTGCCTGAGAGTTATTAGGGGTTCTTAAAGGAATCGCAAGCAAAGGACAGGGAGGAAAGCAGGAATAAGGGCCACCACGTGGTTCTAGCTCTGGTGAGGCACATGTAGCAAGATGAAGTCATTTACACTTCACAGAATAATGTTTTTATTATAAAAATCAGCTGATGTGAATCTTTGGGTGTAAGTTGTGCCATTCACTAACTAGGTATAGTGTCTGACCTGAGGCACAGGCATCCTGGATCTCCCTGGACAAACCCAAATCTACCACAGAAGGTTTCACCAGTACGCTGTTTCTTGGATTTAGACAAAGGCCACAGTTGTGTACATAAAATGCTAAAATCAGCATGGAAAAATCTTTTATTTAAAATTAACTAACAACTCTGTGGTTGTGTGTTCTGTTTGTGTGTTTTGTTGTTTTGGTTTTTTCTGGCTAGCTCATCAGAGTTGTAACAAGCTCAATTAAAGTGCAAGGAATCCTGTCTTATGCCTGTGTCATACTCTTCTATTTTGGGTAAGATGATTCTTGAATATGTTTTGGTTATAAAGTATAAACGTAAGATGTAACGGAGGTCAGCAGCACCCAGTCACGCTCGGGCCCTCACGCCGCCCCTGTAAAGCTCATCCCTGCACGTGTATTTGTGACTGGACTGACTGCAGAGCTGTGGGGCAGGGGGATTCATAGTCCTTCAGATTTCATTTTCAGGTTTGGTGAATTCTTTTGCTTCAAGCCCTTTTTGACTAAGACTTAGGTTTCACCCATATTTTCTTTGACGAAGAAAAGTCTGCCATTGCAATCAAACATTTTTCCATAGTTAAAAACGTCTTTGACCCTCTAGTGTGTTTGCCACGTTTAATTGCTTAGCACACCCTAGGCCTGAGGTTATACATGTGGGCAGCTTCTCTGCCTGTGGTGAGCGGAGCTCCATCTGCGGTGTGCTGGC